ATTCTACAACTTTTTCTTTCTGTCTTGGGAGAATAAGATTTACAATGTGATGCTAAACCTATTGTATAGATTTGCCTTTGATATCCAAACAAGCTTGCTCTGGAATTTAGGTACACCTTTTAATAGAATAATGCATAAATTCAGCATGTTGGTGCTGATAGGGAATGTGTTGGAGGAAAGGATATACTGTGACCTTTTAAATACAGCCTAGAGTAACCTTGAGGTTTTCAGCTTAGGGAGCAGAAGAACACAAAAGATTTCCATTCCGAAGATGTAAAATCCTGTAAGACATGGCTGGCACTGTTTTAATTATCCAGAAAGGATAATAGGAATTTATTTATTTATTTATTTATATTAAATCCAGTTAAGAGTATTAAAATAAGCCCTGTGTCTTGTGCAAGAGGACTAGACTACATAGTTAGTCCCGTAAGCGCCGGATACACTGAAGTTCCTTTCCCCTGTCCATGCAGCAAGGTACCCCCAATGGAAGCCCTTGCTTTCCCTCCCATCGTCAAGCAGAAAATAGGTTTTGTTGCTGTGAGCATTGCAAAGGAGCTCTTCTGGCAAGTGCTTCCGAATGGGAGGCACTCACACATTCCCTTGAGAAATTTTTATGAAGTTAGCCAGATCTCAATACAAAACCAAGCTGCTGCATTAAAAGGCCAACTCGCTGTGTTGAGCAGAAACGTGTCATATATAGAGTAAGGTGACAGAGCTGCAATCAGAAAAGCAATCTACACCAGAAATACATCCCAGTATTCATCAAGGGAGAGCAGTGGTCAAATGCCCTTCATATGTTGTTAAAAGCTATCCCTCATTTATTACTTACCTGTTCACACCTAGAGCTCTTTTCTATCCATCTCATGTGTTCTTTGCTTACAAAATCTAAAAGAAATCTTCTAACCCACAACCATGAGTTCCTTTTCTTCTGGTATTTAAATTCAAGCAAATGCTATGCCCTTGTTTTGGAGAATAAACTTGTTGCAAGGCTGTAATGGAAGTATGAACATCGAAGAGAGTGAGTATTGTTGGCTGTATGTCCTGCATGCAGCTCCCAGGGATGAGGAGAGTTTGAAGTGGAAAAATGCAGCAACAGATGAGATTCCCTGTCTCTGCAACAAAGAGAACTTCTGGTAACTAGTCCGTAGTTTAATGTAATAGATTTGAGCATTAAAGAATTGACCTGTGGACTTAAAA